GCCTTAACTACTACAGCTATTTTTTCCCGACAATTCATCCCAACCCTTTTGACGGCAGACATGCCACCTTGCCCAACAACCTCTGCATGCATGCTCATCTAATTCGGAACTCCAGCACTACACTTCTCTCCAAACTGGTCAATGGAGCCGACAGGTCCCAGACACCCGGCAGCAACCTATCCAACCCGACTGGATCTTCAATCAACATGGCCAATCAGGTTAGCCCGGCGCCAAAGATGTCCGGAGGTGTGGCTTCCGGCTTGAGCACTAATGGTATTGCCGACAACTTAACCAATTTGCTGCCGGTAGGTGCCAGAGGCACAGAGATGCGGATATCGCTGACATCTGCGCCTGCGCACCCGGTCCCGGGTTCGAGTCCCCTCTGGGCTCTGGTCAACTTGGTGGGCTTGACCGGCCAGCTTTCCTGGCTGGCTGGAGTGTTTACACGACGTGGCAGCTCCACTCACCTTTGGACCGCCCGCCTCATACAGACCGTTAGCAGAACTACAGTGGAGGCGACCACTGGACAAAGGGTCACTGACCTGCTGACTCGGGTCACTGAGGCGCTACAGACGACTCGCCGCCTCCGCCAACAGGCCTCGAACTCGACTTTGGCTTTGGGCTCGAGCTCGGGTTCAAACTCTTGCTCGGCTACATCATTAGGAGGACGAGTTGCCCTGGGGCCCGACGGTCCGCTGAGTTTGCGCAGCCAGACATCATGGAAGAGGATATGTCAGGAGTATGCACGAATGAAATCATCACGTTCAGCAGGTTTGCAAAGACATGTTATGATAGTCAATACGGGGAAAAATAAAGGTTTGCTGGCGTGAGCCAATAAAAAGTAAACTGGGAAGAGGGCGTCAAATAAAGAGAAAGAATAAAATAATTACGTATACAAATGACGAATAGAAAGAAAAGAAAATATGGCTTATTATATATTGAGAAGTGGAGATGAGAGCAGGATTTTAAGAAGCGGTGAGAAAGCGAAAAGAAACAATAAAAGAAGAGTGTGATGAGAGCAAACAAGAAGTCAATACTGCAGTAGAAAAGGAAAGTTAAAAAATGAAGGCAAAAAATAAAAAAATAGATAAGATGTGAGGAGATAAGGCGAAAGAGGCGCAAATGAGAAGAGATGTGAATGAATAAATGAGATGAAATGTGAAAGAGATGAGATGAGATAAGTTTAGTTGAGATGAAATGAGATGAGATGAGTTGAGATGATATGAAATTAGATGAAATGAGATGAGATGAGATGAGATAAGTTTAGTTGAGATGAAATGAGATGAGATGAGATAAGATAAGTTTAGTTGAGATGAAATGAGATGAGATGAGTTGAGATGATATGAAATTAGATGAAATGAAATGAAATGAGATGAGATGAGATGAGTTAAGATGAAATGAGATGAGATGAGATAAGATGAGATGAGATTAAATGAGATGAG